CCTGACAAATGCCTGGCTGCCATGCTGGCATCTCGTAATCAAGAGGTCCCAAATGGAATATCTCGACCTTCCCAATTCCCGTCCTTTTTCTGTGCATATTGTCTGCAAGCTCTTCTGATTCCCTCGGCTCAGATTTCAACAATCTCTGCCACTCTTCCCTCCAACCTGGCCCTCATGTGCAACACATCACCTATCTTCCCCGATGTGTCCACATCCACGCCTTCCTGTGTATTCACACCCTTCCTTATGCCATCATCCTCTCTTGCTGCATACACCTCTGCCAGTCCCTGGCCTTTGTTCTGTCCCCACCTCCAATCCACATGTGAGCTCCTGGGGTGACATTAGTCAAAACATTCCATTCTGTCCACTGCTGGCAAAGTCAGGGTCCCAACCCATCATGGCAAACGAACACTCCTGTCCCCTAACCCATGCACACAGCCTCACACCACTGCAGGCACCCTCCACTCACCATCACTCCAACATACCTGCTTCTTGCATGCACTCTGTTCCCTCCTGCCAGAACGCCCTCCTTGTTTTTACCTATCTTCAAGTCTTGGTTTGATGCCAGCTCCAACCTAAAGCCTCTCCTAATCCTGCTATCTGGAACTAATCTCTCCTTCCTCAAAGCGCTCCTGTGTTTCTTTATACAACTCCTTTGCCTCTTATCACGTTCTGCCTGGTGGGATAGCCACATGGCTGACATCACCCCAAATGGTAAGTTTTTTGGATGAGGTGCTCATTCATATTTACAGCTCCTATCAAATATTTGACCCTCAGCAGAGACCAGTGGAAGTCACGTTACTGGCACTCAGTAAGCCAACAAATTTAAATTTACTATGCTTCACAGCAATGCTTCCATATAGATCCTCTCTATTTGAATCTATCGATTTTCTCAATCATATGGCTGTTTTTCTTGGAAATAGTATTTGTTTCTCTTTTTAACTCAGCCTCTTAAACATGACCAACAGACATTCATCATTTACTAGACTAACGTTCTGATACGATTATATATGGAGTATCTGTCACGGACACATGTTGAGTGATTTACATACTTTATTTTATCCTCTCCAGGAGAGATCCTCTTCACTGTACAGGTGAGTAAAACTAAGGCTCTTAGAGACTGAGGAACTTTACCAGCATCACACAGCTGGTCAATACCAGTCGGGGGCCTGAAAAGAGATCTGGATGACTCAGAACTCTACATTGTGAAAGGGGAGAGGCTGTTTACTTTCTTCTTGGGAGGAAATGTTGCACCTGAGGAGAAAACAGACCAAGCAACCACTCCACCTCTAGTTTGCTCCTGGTATTGGAACTGCCCTCTGCCTTGGATTTCCCTGGACAGCAGTGAGCTCACCCACCTTGCCTCCTTTCTTCTTCTCTGGCTCTGTGCATAGTGAAAGGGATTCCGTCTGACTCCAGCCTGGTTTCTTTGCCAGCTCCCTTATGATTAACCCCACCCTCACCCAGGTGGGCTCAGTTATCCTAATTCTCAATAACTCAACAATCCCAAAATAGTTTGTCTTTCCAAGAGACCTGAGGCACGTCAACGCAGGCAATCCTGGAGATGGATCTGGCCATCGGTAATGGTGTCACAGAATGTGATGGGAGCAATGGAATTCCTGGCCTGGCCTCTGCTAGCGTCTGGACAGGCGGAGCCCTAGGCAGGTCTTTCTGGGGGCTCTCTTGCCTGCCAAGTTGGTTTGACCTTTGGGGCATGGTGAAAGGTATAGCTTTTTGGTTAGCTATTTTGCAGGGCTTTTGGATTCTCTTGCTTTCTTTCCCCTTTGCTTTTATTTGCAGACTCAGCTTTGAACCCAAATGCATTGAGGCAGGGGTGCCTGGAATAGCCCAGCTCATTAATGGGAAGCCTACAAGTGAATGCAAAAGTATGAACATAGTAACAGCGCTGAGGTGACTCTCCTTTTTTAGATAATCCTCCCTGCTTTCCCCCCACCCCCACCCCCGCTCTCAAGTTTCTGTTGCCATTCCCCCGCCCGCACCCCCCCCCCAAGTTTCTGTCTTTCCTTTTGCCCTCCCTGAATTCTTCTCTTCACCATTGTCTTTTATCTTCTCTCTTTCAAGGCAAAAAGGACACAGCTTCTCAGCGTCTGATGTCTGCCTGTCAGACTTCTTGGCCCTCAGGCTGGAAAAGCTCTGGAGTTCTCAGGAATCTTTGCAAGCCTGGCTCCAAGGATCCCCTTCCCCTCACCCCTGCAGACCACAGGGAGGAGCAAGAAGCCTTCAAGGCACAGACCAGGTTGGACTAGATTCAGAAGCCTAATTACCACCAGAAAATTAAAGAAAGGTAATAATTGCTTTTAAACACTTAACAAAAGGCAATCTCACCTCACAGGTTTGTAAATTTGTAGTGAGAACTGATTACAAGGGGGCCCTTGTGCTGCCTTCTTTGTGTTTGATTTGCAAACCAGAATGCACACGCCCCCATATGCATAATTGGACCCTCACGGTCTCCGCATCAATGTGGCCAGGCAGCCCAAGTTTATTTATCCAGTGCTCATTCAAAGAAAAGCTGAATGGAACAAGAAAACTCCCACTTTGCGATGGGATTAGATACCGTGGAGTATTCCTCCCCCCTGGTACTCTTTCAAGGATTTTTTTTTTTTAAGTTTCTAAATCTGCTTGGGAAAAAAAAAAAAAGTAAATTACCAGAAGTGAGATTAGTGGGGAATATTGTTCTTAGGACAATAGTGTCTTTATGGTTTGACTGGTATGGGCTCCCTGCTTCAAAAAAATACAAGAGCTGGAGGTGTGGGGGTTCTTAATTGCCTACATCTGATCAACTGGCAGCAGAGAAAGAAGAAGAAAGAAAGAAATCTCATTCAGCTCTGATTTAGCCTGGATCAAGTCCACTTGCTAATCAGAGTTTAATGAGGATGCCACTGGCCCTGTTGTATTTGCCAACGCTCCCACTAAGGTCCCTGGCCTTCTGTTTGTGCAGGGAGCACTTTCGTCCGGCCGCCCCACGAAGCAGGATGCAGGCTGAGATGGAAGAGACCCAGCCCGGAGAAGTTAATTAAGTTTAGGCCCTTGGCATTCCAAGTCACCGGAACCCATGGTGGGAAGCCTCACCCACCGCACAAAAGAGACCCACACGGAGCTCTGAATGATGGTCCTCCGCGGGGGTAGCGGGGCTCCTGTGCGCCCCACTGCCAGCTCTTAACCCCGGGGACTGTGTCCCCTCCACTGCACAAACTGAATAGGTCTGCAGGACCACGAGCCGCTTCGGGTGAGGGAGGCTTCAGAAGCGCGCACGGGCCGTCATCCAATGTCACTGAGAGACGTGCAGACTCCACAGTCCTCAAAGAATCCGCAGATCTAGGAAGGCTCGGATAAAGGAATGATCCTGTTTCCAAGCTGTGTTCATTCTCTGTGGTTTAAACAAAAATTACCGTAAGCAAAAAGTTGACCTTGAGATGAGCAAGCTACTGTCTTTTCCGTTTTTAATTGTGTATCATAACCTCCAAGGAGGGAATGAAGCGTCCAGGTCTCCATGAGGATGTCGGAGGGCGCTGACTCGTTGGAGGACCGGAAACACAAGTCACAGAGTGCAGGGAGCCCAAATAAACGGTCACCAGCCCTTTCCTGCACATTTGCGTTTATGGCACGTGAAGGCCATGAAGGCCACAGAAAAAAGAGCCGTCTGGAGGGTAATGGGCTTGGGTTTTGAGTTCCAGGTCCGTCGGAATTCTCGAAGGGTACGTCTTTTCTGACAGATTGTTTACCATTGGTGAAGATTGGGATAATACGTGTGAGCACGGCCTTGCACAAGGACACATGGTAAATGCTCTTGTCTCTAGACCTCAAAACCCGGAGACCAGTAGAATCCCCGACACAGCTGGTGAGCATGCGCATTCCTGAGTCCCACCTTCAGAGATTCTGACCGGCGGGTTCGGGGTGGGACCTGAGACTCTGCATTCCTAATAAGCTCCCTGGTGATGCCACTGATGCGAATCGTTGGCCACGCTTTTAGACACTGCCTTCCATCACGCTTCCCTCCCCTGCCCTTCCTCTTTCTTTCCTATTTTGCATTATTTACTGTGGTTTCTCTAGCGCCTACAACAGTGCCTGGCCTATTGTAGATGCTCCAACAAAATGCATTAAACAAATGACAAATATAGCCCCATAAAATAGATGAGAAGACAAGGTTCCAGAAGGATAGGTAACTGGGCCAAGACTACACAACCAAGAGATGGCAGAGAAAGAACAATCACCAGGTATTTGTGGCTTCAGTGCTTTTAACACCCACGCCTCCTTCTCTCACTCCCAGCATGCTCTGGACTGAGGCTAATTTGGACATAGTTCCTTTGGGAACCTGGACATACTGACTACCAGCATCACACAGAGCTCTGAATGGCCCATTCTCTCCTGAGACAGCAAAGGTGAAAATGTAGGAGGAGGCTGATTGGTCTCAGATGGCAAAGGTGGTCTTCTGAGAACCTACAATTCAGCCAGCCCATTCTTTTTTTTTTTTAATTTTTTTTTTTTTTAATTTCTAGGAGACAGAGAGAGAGAGAGAGACAGCTTGAGCAGGGGAGGGTCAGAGAGAGAGGGAGTCACAGACTGAAACAGGCTCCTGGCTCTGAGCTGGCAGTCAGCACAGAGCCCGACGCGGGGCTCGAACCCACGAACCGCGAGATCATGACCTAAGTGAAAGTCGGACGCTTAACCAACTAAGCCACCCAGGCGCCCCAAGCCTATTCCTTTTTAACGCCAGGAAATATCTCGAGAGAACTTTACCAACGCCCTTTCCCTCATTTATTGGACAGCTGACTGGAATGTTGTTCTGCCTCACAATTTGGATTTACCCTCCAAAAAAATTCTTCCTCCAGACCATGGGCAAGCTCTTGAATCTTGTTTCATAATTCCAACTGTCGAAACAGCAGCTATGGAGACCAATGGTTACAATGCATGAGATGCACGATAAATGCTGGAACAAATTAATGGACAAAACATTTTTAAATTGAGCTTTTTACTTTCAGTTAATTATAGATTCTCATACAGTTGTAAGAAATAATACAGAGATATCCCATATGCCCTTTACCCAGTTTCTCAATGGTGACATCTTGCAAAACAAAAGCACAATGTTATCAGTAGGATATTGACATTGATGTAGTCAAGATACAGAGCATTTTCCATCACCACATGGATCCGTCATGTTGCGCTTTTATAGACACACTTCATTCCTACCTGTGTCTCCCTCCTCATCCAGAACACCATGGAAATTGCTAATCTGTTCTCCATTTCAATAATTTTGTTATTTCAAGAACTTTAGGTAAGTGGACTCATATAGCATATTTCCTACTGGGGTTGATTTTTTTCCCCACTTCACACAATCCTCTAGAGATTCGTCCAAGTTGTTGATATATCATGCATTTACTCCTTTCTTGCCAAGTAATATTCCATGGTATTGAAATGGAAGTTTGTTTTACCATTTAACTGTTGAAGGACATTTGGATTCTTTCCAGTTTCTTGCTATTATGAGTGAAACTGCTGTGACCATTCATGGATAGGTTTTTGTGTGACCATATATTTTCCATTTTCTGGAGCAAATTTATCAGGAGTATAATTGCTGGGTTCTAAAATAGTTTATATTTATTTATTTTTTCATGAAACTGCCAAACTATTTTCCAGAGTAGCTGTACTATTTTGCATTCCCATCAGGCAATGGGAATCCATTTCTCTCCATCTGAATGCCTTTGGTGAAAGGTTTTTTTCATGTTTTCTGCCCATTTTCTAGTTGGATTGTTTGTTTTATTACTATTGAGTTTTTAGAATTCATTATGTAATCTAGATATGCTGTTTGCAAATATTTTTTCCCAGTCTACAAGCTTGTCTTTTCATCCTCTTAACAAAGTCTTTCACAGAATGAATGTTTTTTATTTTAATGAAGCCCAGTTTATCAATTTTTCCTTTTATGGACCATGCTCTTGGAGTCAAGTCTATGAACTCTTTGCCTACCTCTAGATCCTGAAGGTTTCTTCTTGTTTTCTTCCAAAAGCTTATAGCTTTACATTTTACATTTCCATTCATGATTTATATGTTGAGTTAATTTTGTGTAAGGTACAGATTTAGATGTTATATTTTTTTGTCTGTAGATGTCCACTTGCTCCAATACTATGGGCGGGATGATCTTTCCTCCATTGAAATGCTTCTACACTTTTGTCAAAAAGTTGAGTATATTTGTGTGTCTACTTCTGGGTTCTCTATTCTGTTCCATTGATTGCTTTTCATCAATACCACCCAGTTTTGATGCACAGAGCTACAAAATAAGTGTTGAAGCTGGATAGACTGATCATTCCCACTTTATTCTTCTTTTACAAAGCTGTTTAGCTACTCTAGCTCCTTTTTCATTTCCATATAAACTTTTGAATGATCTTGTCTCTAGCTACAAAAAGTCTTGCTGATATTTTGATAAGCATTGGGTTAAATATTTCTACCAATTTTCATTTTTTTCATGGGAGGTGTTCAAGCTCACGTCCATATGACACATACCATGTTTTGATTTCTTTCATCAGCATTTTGAAGTTTTTGGCATACAAGTTCTGTATGTGTTTTGCCAGATTTATCTGTAAGTTGTTTCTTTTTTCTGAGCTATTGTGAATGGTATTCTATTTTAAATTTCAGTTGCCATGTGGTCATGACTTCTATATTTCTAATATGTACTACTATACAAAAATTGATTTTTGTGTGTTCTATCCTACGGCTTTTCTGAATTCACTTATTAGTTACAGAATTTGTTTTTTATAGATTTCTGGAGATTTTTTTTTTTTTTAAAGATTTTATTTATTTCTAGGAGAGAGAGAGAGAGACAGCGTGAGCAGGGGAGGGTCAGAGAGAGAGGGAGTCACAGACTGAAACAGGCTCCAGGCTCTGAGCTGGCTGTCAGCACAGAGCCCGATGCGGGGCTCGAACTCACGAACCGCGAGATCATGACCTAAGCGAAAGTCGGACGCTTAACTGACTAAGCCACCCAGGCGCCCGATTTCTGGAGAATTTTTATGTAGGCAGTCACATAATGCGTGACATAGGGACAATTTTATTCCTTCTTTTCAAATTTACTTTTCTTACCTTATTTCACTTTACTTTTTTGCCTTGCCATCCAGCTAAAACTTTCAGTACTATGTTGAATGAGTGAATATTGAATATTGAATAAGTACTGAATGGTTGTCCTTTTGAAATATCCTTGTCTGGTCTCAATCTTTGGGGGAAAGCATTTAGTTTTTTACTATTAAACTTAATGTTAACTTTAAGGTTTTTTATTTGTTGTTTGTTTGTTTTTTTGGTAGATGCTCTTGGTCAGGTTGAGTAGTTCATCTTTATTTCTGTTTTTCTGGAATTTTTATCATGATGCCTGTTGGATATTTCCATGTGATTTTTCTGCATCTGTTGATATGATCACATGATTTTTTTTCTTCTCAGATTATAATGATTGATTTCCAGATAGTCAGTCGGTTTTGCATATCTGGAATAAAGCCCACTTGCTCATGGCATATTATTCTTTTTATTTATCATTAATTTTATTTTCTAATATTTTATTCAAGAGATTTGCTTTTGTATTCATGAGGGGTAATGCTCTATAGTCTCTTTTTTCTTCCTTTTCTTTTTTTCTCTTTCTTTTCTTTTTTTTTTTTTTTTTTTTTGGTTGTCATTTTCTGTCTCTGGTTTTGGTATCAGGGTAATAGTAGCATTATAAAATGAATTCGGGAGTGTACCCTCTTCTATTTTCTTGAAAAGATTGTGTAGAATTACTGTTAATTCTTTAATCATTTGGAAAAACTCTTCAATGAAACCATCTGGACCTGGAGTTCTCTTTTTGAGAGTTTTTTAATTACAAGTTTAATTTTCTTAATAGTTGAAAGGCTATTCAAATTTTCCAATTATCTATTTCATATTGGGTTAATTGTGATAGTTTGTGCATCTTGAGAAATGGGCCTATATCCTCTAAGTTGTCATGTGTATGTATGTAGAGCTGTTTGTAGTATTTCCTTATTGTCTTTTTGATGTCAGTAGGGTTTGGAATGATATTTTCTGTTTCATTCCCAATACTGGTAATTTCTGTCTTCTCTCTTTTTTCTCTTTCAGTCTTTCTAGAGTTGAATCAATTTGGTTGATTTTTTTTTGAAGAACCACTTTTGCACCATTGAAATTCTTTATGTTCTATTTATTACTTTACTTCCTTTGAGCTTCCTCTTTGATTCTTGGATTTTTTTTTAGAAGTGTATTGTTTAATTTCCAAATATTTAGAGATTAAAAAAGTTTACACTGGGTTCTAAAATTCTTCCATTAAAAAAAGTTTTATGATATCTAACATTGCTAATGTAATATGGTACAAGTGACAAACAGTGGCAGATAACTTAGCTATGGGGCTATGCTGTGGGATTAGGGTAAAGCAGTGTCTGATCAGGGCAAAATTTGGCAATGACTTTCTTTTCAGGGAGGTGCCTGAGAGCCTTGACTTCTACGTCTCTGGTACAGGCTCTCAGCAATGGCTGATGGGGCACTGACAGTCATGCTTTTGTGGAGCCTGGGGAGTTCCCTTCTTTTAGTAATGTCTTCACTGGAGATCATTGACAAGTGAGACGCAAACCAGCCTATAATAAGTTATGTCAAAATGAAAACCTCTGGAAACTTAAATGCATATCACTAAGTGAAAGAAGCTATTAGGAAAAGGCTATATACTATATGATTCCAATATGGTAATCTGGAAAAGGAAAACCTGTGGGTACAGTAGAAAGATCAGTGGCTTCCAGGGGCTAGGGGACAGAGAGGGATGAGTAACCAGAGTGCAGAGGAATTTTAGGGGAGTGAAAATACTCTGTATGATACCATAATGGTGGATACATGCCATTGTATATTTGTCAAAATACACAGAATGTATAACACCAAGAGTGAACCCCAATGTAAGCTATGGACTTTGGATGATAATGGTGTGAATGCATTTGTTATTGATTATAAACAAATGCACCACTGTGGTTCAGAATGTGTAGTGTGGGAAGTTGTGTATGGGTGGGGCACAAAGCATATGGAACTCTCTGTATTTTCTGCTATAATCTATTGAATATAAAAAAAACCATCACAGGGGCGCCTGGGTGGCTTAGTCAGTTAAGCGTCCGACTTTCGCTTAGGTCATGATCTCGCGGTTTGTGGGTTCGAGCCCCGCGTTGGGCTCTGCGCTGACTGCCAGCTCAGAGCCTGGAGCCTGTTTCAGTCTGTGACTCCCTCTCTCTCTGACCCTCCCCTGCTCACGCTCTCTCTCTCTCTCTCCTAGGGGGAAAAAAAACCCATTACAATTATATAGCCCCTCACACGCATTAGGATGATTAATACAAAAAGCAAACAAACCCATAAATAATAAGTGTTGCTGAGAATGTGGAGAAATTAGAGCCCTCATGTACTGTTGGTGGGAATGTCAAATGGTGAAATCAATATGGAAAACAATGGCGGTTCCTCAAAAAATGAAAAATAGAACTACCATATGATCCAGTAATTCCACTTCTGTGTATATACTCAAAAGAATTTAAAGTAAGCTCTCAAATAGATATTTATACACCCATGTTCAAGGCAGCATTGTTCATAATAACAAAGAGGTGGAAATAATTCAAGTGTCCCTCAACAGATAATGGATAAACAAAATAGAGTATAAATATACAATAAAATATTATTTAGCCTTCAAAAGAAAGGTAATTCTGACACATACTACAACCTGGATGAACTTTGAGGACATTATGATAAATGAAATAAGCTAGACACAAAAAGACAAATGGATGCCTCTTCTATGAACTACTCAGAGCTGTCAAATTCAGAGGCAGAAGATAGAAAAATGGTTACCGGGGGTTGGAGGAAGGAATAAATGGGGAGTTGTTTAATGGGCACAGTTTCAACTTTGCAGAGTGAAAAGTCTCTGGAGACTTGGTTGTGCAATGATGCAAGTATACTTAACATCACCCTCCATTTAAAAATGATGAAATGGTAAATTTCATGTTACATATATTTTACCACAATTAAACATTTTTGAAAACAAACAAAAAAATTAAAATAAATAAGAAAGCAAGCTCTTGGAAGCAGAAAATTCCAACTAGCTTCAAAAGTTTAGGAGGCTCCATTTAATTTAATCTGACTTCCATTGGAATGCAGTCCCTAGCATTTTTTTAAAATTTAAATTGTAGTGAACATCTAGTGCAAAATTGGTTTCAGGAGTAGAATTCAGTGATTCACCACTTATATACAATACCCAGTGTTCATCACATCAAGTACCTTCTTTAGTACTTCTCA